TCAGATCCTTCAGCTCCCATCCGAAGTAACCTCAGTTCAAAAGGCTGCCATCCCATCTCAGCCCCGTCCTTGATGTCACCAATGACCAACAGAATGCACAATTGGCGGGGAAGCGTACACCTCCCTACTAGGAAAAACCTTGGCCTTGAACAACTCAATCTTGGCAATAATGTGGTACACCACCTCGATCTGGTTCCCCTCACCGGAATTTCAACAACACATCTGCGGCAGCAGCCTTCCTATGGACAGGGAACCTAGATAAACAGCACTTCATACACAAAGTAGCATGGCAAATAATCACGCAACCCAAAGGAAAAGGTGGACAAGGAGTCATAGACCCAGCACGTCAGATCCAGGCTCTCCAAATAAAATGAATCATTAGACTAACTCTACAAGACAACCTTTAATGGATACCATTGGACCTCAATCGCATTAAGGAACTGGCACCCTTCCATTCCCCCTTTGGGTATGTCAGGCCTCTTTTGGGTCTTCAATCCAAACTGGTCCCTCCCCAAAGAAAATAGAAACAGGAACCACCAGCAGGACACAAAGGACGAAGGGAACCAAGACAATACAAAATCCTTTTGGGAGCAACTCATAATCCAATGGAGAATGATCTTTCCAAAAAAACAGGGTAGGCCCCAAAAGAAGAGATGAAGTCCTCAAACAACCAATTTTCAGCAATTCCTGGATCAAAGATGGGAACGGCCACCAAATGGGGCCATTGGTTAGAAAAGGGTGTGTGGCAGATTCAACATCTATGGAAAGAGGATACAAGGACCTGGAAATCCGAGAAGGAACTGAGGGTAACCACCCTGAAATGCAGCCACAATCTGCAAACCAACATCTCTACCATCATCGAAAGTATCCCTATGGAATGGAGACTACTACTAAAATCCACCCTGAAATGGCTTTGGGCCAACTGGGCAGTACTAAGGGGACAAACAGCAACCCAGGAGGTCCTCAAAATAGTCAGCTATGAACAACACAACAAAGATTGGATTCTATGCTCCATTTTTGCTCTGGAGGAACGGGGCAACTCGGCGAGTTCCCTCAACAGGGAAAGCAGAGGAGGAGCATTTAAAACCACCAAGTTATTACCAACCTTTAAAGAATCAGAGTGATCGAAGAAGACAGAAACAGGGTCTACAAGCCATAAACAGAACTATGCTACCTGGAAATAGACCCAGCTGAGTGGTCCTGGAGCACATCAAGCCCCCAATCCCTGATCAAACGTCACCACATGCTAATCGACTACACCCCTAAACTGGGTTACAGGCTCTTCTCAAAACCAACTTCAGTATCAAGTTACTATCAACTATACTTCAGAAAAGATGGGGAAAAGAAGAAACCACTCTTCCAAACCTTACCATCAAACCAGCCTGGTCCTCAATCTTCTGTACAAGACCAACCAAACTAGCGAGCCTACTATGGCTCATCGCCTTCAGAGCAGTCCCTGTCAACTTATGGCTATCACACAAAAAAGAAGAAAAGAAGAGAGAACGAGCAAGCAGCATGGTGTAGAGTATGCAATTGACAAACCGAACAATCGCAATTGACCCCGCTACTCTATTCCTAGACAAAGAACCAACCCCCCCTCTTAAACCACCACTACCTGCAGCACGACTGGCACCGAAAAGAATCCACGAAGTCTGGAGGCCTGTAACGCACCAATGCCGCGGATGGATTTTATCGACGGCGGGCGCAGCCTCCTGACACTTCAGGTAGTAGGATACTACTTGAAATTCGGAGGCCTGCAGGTAGGGGTGGTTTAAAGGGTTTGAATTTTGAACTCTTCTTTTTTTCTCTAATCAGGAAAGGCACTCTCTGGGCAATTTGGAAAAAGAGATGTGCAGCAAACTTCAATGATATCAGTGCCAACTCCGAGAATTCCCTCATCACCATCAAACAGATCATTGAAACCGAGATACAAGCCGTCTGGAACAAAACGAAAAAACAGTTTCAGGAAATACCGGATTAAAAAGAAATAGAAATCATCAAGAAATTCACGACCTTAAGGCTCGGCAATGGAAAACTTGGCTCAATCATGGGAGATAGGCTAGTTCTCAAGGATTGCCTAGTCATACCAGCACAATGCAACCAGGAACCGACTACCTTCCTAACGACTGCTTCGATTTTAGGGCCGGTCGACTCCGATGCATTGCCCGATGACGGAGCGGATCAGAGAATCTGAGCCTGAAGGGCAAGCCTAGATCCAAACCCACAACAAGAGAAAAATTCCATGGTGGGACCGGCATCAAGGCACCCCCGGACACAGGTCTACCCACACCAAATCCATCACCCCCAGGTCCTCTGGAACATCTACACAGTCTCTGTCTCATTTTGTCCTGAATAACCACGAAAACCCTGGACGATTATCAAAATGTAGCCTCACACTCTAATCCCACAGTGAGACCCATACCAGGTCATCCCTGGACACAAATCTACCCACACCAACACATTCACCCCCAAGCCCCCTGGAAACTCTTCCCAGCCTCAGTCCCATATTGCCTGGAGTGACCGCTAAAAACCCTTAACCCCTATCAAAACATATTCTCCCACTCTGATCCAATACCATAATGGCAAACCTAGTACGATACCCTCCCACCCACCATTTTTTTATCAGCATACATCCACTATCTCCAACTACCAGGGTAGGAAACGTACCTTGCAGTTTTGATCAGAGTTGGTTTCATTCCACAGCTACACAAGGAGCTAGGGTAACAGGAGGTTTTACCAAGTAGCAGGCTAGGAAATAAAGTGACATCAAGGCCTAAGACTATAAGGTTTAAAGATTAGTATAGGAGGCGGTGAGAAACCAAACTAGCGGCTCCAGCATCTCACAGCAATGATCAATCAGGTAGCTAGGTAGCTGAGAGGAACACACTAGTGACAGCCTCCATAGGAAGGTTTCTATCAGGAAACAGCAGAGTAGTAGGCCTGTGTAAAACCAATCGCCTTAAGTACGTCGACCAGACCAACTTAAGCAGGGGTGAAGAATGGCACATCCTTCCCACGGGAAGTAATCAATGCCGTCCTTCGGGCCTTCCAACCATAAAGGGAAGGAGCGTGAGTGAGTATTTGTTGTAAATTCTTTTGACTTGCCGGTGGAATAGGAACCGTACTGATGCTCCCCAGAATGGAAAAGGAGCCAGAACCGACAGGTTAAAAAAAAAAAAAGAGGACCATTTCTCGATTTATGCGAGTCATCCTTGCGCACGGCCCATGCTAATCTTCTCTGTATCGTTCCAATTTTAACGGATGTCCCAGAGGACAGTAAATAAATCAACTTAAAATCTGGTAGGGATACGATAGTATTATGGGTGTTCCCCTTATTCAGAGTCTCAGTCAAATAATGTGAAAACGGTGGGGTACAATAATTGTATGGGTGTCCCCTTTCTTCAGACAAATAAATTTCAAAAGATCTTCTCATTTTCTTTTCCTTTTGTCTGTGATCCTGCTCAGGTTCGTGAAGGAGGGGGAAGACTCAAGTTTGAGATGATGCCCATGTACAGCAGCTCAAGAAGTGGAATTAGACCAGGACAGAAGAAGAAGAAGAAATGAAGAAGAAGGAGAAGACGGGGATTAAATTGAACCACGTCGTCTCCCTCCTCCTCTCACCATCATCATCAGCATCCCTCGCATAATCACTGCCTCCTCGCATAATCACTGTAAACCAGTTGTTTGAGTTACGTACAATTAGTAAATGAATGAATGAAGTTCAATGAACAAGAACCAATGTCTGAGCGATCCCCCTTACTGCCCGTGAAGGAAGGGATCCCCTTTAGCTTCCTCTCACACTCCTCTCCTCTTGGTGAGGCAACTGCCCTCTTCACCTGGATAAACCCCCCCGGTTGTTATAGCTGTATTTGGGGCAACTTTCAGTCCAGATACCACGATAATGACCGGGCACTCTATTCAGGTGAAGGCGGTCATGGTGGCTTTCGTCAGGTCAACCAAGGATGCGCAGAGGAGGACACAATGACGACGAAGCCTCTCCCATCTCCTACCGCCATAGCCGACCTCGGGATGATGCCCACAGCCAACCAGCTCCCTAAGAGGGGCCTTCTTGATGCAGTGCCAATGGGGAAGATGACAATGAAGGTGAAGGTCCACCATAGCCAAAGCTTTCCTGCCTTCCTCCTC